AGGTTATTAACGAGGCAAATATTTTACACAGAGAGTGGTGGGTGCCTGGAATTCTCTGCTGGGGGAGGTAGAGGAAGCAGATACGATGGTAACTTTTAAAGGGCGTCTTGACAAACATATGAATAGGATGGGAATAGAGGGATACGGTCTCTGGAAGGGTAGGGGGTTTTAGTTGTGATGGGCAGCATGTCGGTGCAAGCTTGGAGGGCAGAAGGGCCTGTTCCTGTACTGTAATTTTGTTTGTTCTTTGTTCTTTGTTCTGAAGGGTGACAGTTACTGAGGACCAGAGGAGTTTCACCAGATGAAAAATAAATCACAAAGAGATATTGATAGATTAAATGAATGTGCAAAATTGTGGCCAATGGATTTTAATATTGGAAAATATGAGGTGATCCATTTTGAATCTCTAACAGAATTGAATCGGATTTTTTGTGAACCATGGAAAGCTTTTAAAGGAAGTAGTTGAGAACATTGTCAATCCCCTAATTATGATTTTCCAAAAATAAAACAAAGAACTGTTGGAGATCTGGAAACAAAACAACAATTGCTGGAGAAACTCAGCAGGACTGGCAACATTTGTGGCGAGAAAGCAGAATTAACATCTTGGGTCCAGTTCTGAAGAAGCGTCACTGGACTCAACACGATAACTCTGCTTTCTTTCCACCGATGCTGCCAGACCTGTTGAGTTTCTGCAGCAATTGCAGTTTTTGTAACAATATTCCAAAGTTCTCCTGATTCATGTTTATGGATATTATTGATATGGACTTCCAGAAGGCATTTTATGAAGTGCATCATAAGAGACTGTTTGCTAAAGCGAAAACAAATGGAACTGGCAACAAGTTATGGACCCAATGAGGAAATTGGATATAACAAAGGGGACAGTGTGAGATAATGGACATGTTACTCTAATCAACAGGATATGCCACAACTTAGACAATGGAACAGAAAGCCACAAATTTAAATTTTTGATGTTGTAACGATAGGTGGGTTTGTATAGCATGTAGATGAAAAATTGAACCACGAAGAGGTTTAGATAAATGAAATGAATGCGCAAAATTGTGGCCAATGGATTTCAATTTTGGAAAATATGAAAACATCCACTTTGAATGTCCAGAAGAATTGAACAGGATCTTTTTGTGAACCACGGAAAGCTACAATTGTTGGAGGTTCACAGACTTTCCAGTCCATTTGTACAAACCATTAAAAGTCAAAATCAAGAAGTTATACCAAGAGGTCTACAATATAGTCAAATAGAGTTTGTGCTTTAGTTATGCAAAGCCATGGTGAGACCACACCTGGGAGTCACTGGGAGCAGTTCTGAGCCCTGTACCTTATGAAGGATATGTTGAACTTGAAAGGACTGCAGTCTAGATTTAGTAGAATGATACCCGGATTGCAAAGGTTAAAACTCCAGGAAAGACACAAATCAAGGCTGTGATCTCTGAAATTTAGAAAAGTAAGGGGTGATTTAATTGAAGTTTTTGAGGTATTAAAGGGACTAGACAGGTAAGAACTGATTCTTATGTTTTTTTGGACCAAGTCCAAGCAGTGTTATGCATTTTGGCGGATTTCTCACCATGAGGCCTGGCGAGCTTTCTCATTGCATCTTACCAAACTCGCCTCTTTAATTACCTACCTCCGCCATGGTCTGTCAAGACAGATTCCAGCCCTGTCTTATCACGTACCGTTTCAGGAACAACCCACCACTCAGTGGGTATCCCAGAATTCACCAGCATCCCTTGCACCATCTAAAAGAAGCTGTTGTGCATCCAGACAGTGTGGAGCTGTGCTGTTCCTGACCTTTGCCCAAGACACAGCAGACAGGAGGAACTGGCACCTCCCTGTGTGGGCAGAGCTCTGGAGGTTGTGCTGGGCAGGGTGGTCTTCCTCTTCCCTTAGGACCAGCAGTGGAGGCCATGCCATCACACCATGCTATCCTGGTCCCAGGTTGCCACTCGGGTGAAAGCAGGCTCAGCCCATCTAGAGGACTGTCCAGCACAAAGCGAGAGAGTCAATGTCCTTCTTCACTCCATACCATCTTCTCTATGCTTCCTCACACTTACTCTCTCTCTGCTACTGTCCCCACCTCCCACCAAGGTTTGTGCTCTGCCACTCTCATTATCGCCTGCCATATTTTGCCCTCAACCCACCCCAACCCCTGACTCCACTAACTCTGTATTCCCTCGGCACTGCCTACTCAATTGTTCAGGATGCCTTGCCACCTATAACAGCAATAGCTGTGCCACCTACTTACAGTTCCTGTAATCCCTGCCTCTATCTCTCTCATTCCGGGAGTAAAAGAGTCCATAATACCACAGAAAGACTCAAGAAGGCTGCAGTGCTGCCTGATATTCAGCTCCTCACCCCTTACGGGCAGAGAATCCTGACTCTGACTGCCCCGAGCGGGCCATGGACTAGTATTCGAGTCTGCCCTTGACTGACTGTGCTGGGATGCCATGAGAGGAGCCTATTTCCCTTGACTGTCTGACAACTAGGACAAGCCTCCTGGCTTTGTGTCTGTGCTAAATGGCACTACAAGACAGCAGTAAATATGCAGCCTGGCATCTCTGGCTGTGTGGGGGAAAAGCACCAATGGGCAAAGCAATGTAAGGCAGGAATGCTGCGCGCATCCAGATCAGGTCATAGTGAGTGAGAACTGTGCCAACAAGTGACAAACCTTGCCCAGTCCCTGAGCTGGGTGTGTGACCCTGAAGCCATGGTGTTCTTGCTGCAGAATACAGAGATAATTGCTGGTGCAGGCCCAGGCACAGGTGTTGAGATTCTAACTAGGCATCGGCAGTGTGCCCATTGATGGGCATTACCATTTGCTAACTGCCTTGCTAATGCACAACGCACCTCTTCAACATACAGCCTCCCATGTTACTGACTCGGCAAACTAGTCAAGACATCAGAAAAACACGATAAGAAAACCAGAGAGAGTACCTGACATTTCAACTAACCACTTGCACCAAAAGACCCACATGTGGGGCACCAACATCTCAGGGCACACTCTGTGGGTAACTGGAGATTTGCCAAGAAGGTTGTTAGAGGCTGGCACATGTCGGATGCCAATGTCTATGGACATGGGTTACATGTGGCCAGTGCCTATGGAACGTGCTCTGCAATGTTGGTGCCTGGTCGTCCAAAATTTAGAGCTTGATCTTTCAGGAGTGACACTAGGAAACAGATCTGTAACTGGTCTGGTAGGAGTTTGTAACCCTGTTCTGGTAGCTGCAATTCATATAAATCAATTGTTAATTTTAAACTGAGAATGACATTTTTATTAGCTAGTGATATTCCTGGGAAAGATCAAGTTCTCTATATGGAGGTCAGTCACAAATGGGTCATGTTTCCTTTAAATGGCAGAGCAGGCTTAAAAGGTCCTACTCCTGGAACTGCAGCCTACTGAGTTAAAATCAGGACTTGCATCCTTTCTGTCAGAGCAATGCACATTTTAAGGTGATATAATGCAAATGATTAAAATTTAAAGAGAAGAAACAGAAGCAGATTGTTCCCAGTGGCTAGGAGGAATAGAATTCATGTCCCCTACTGGTTTTACACTGTCCACTAGAAATGGTGAGGGGTCACTCCCCAATAAAACTGGTGAGGGGAGTGTTACTGGTAAAACTGGTCAGAACATTGAGTATAGGAGTTGGGATGTTATGTTGCGGCTGTACAGGACATTGGTGAGGCCACTTTTAGAATATTGCTCACAATTCCGGTTTCCTTGCGACAGGAAGGATGTTGTTAAACCTGAGAGGGTGCAGTAAAGATTGACCAAGATGTTGCCTGGACTGGAGGGTTTGAGTTATAGGGAGAAGCTGAATCGGCTGGGGCTTTCTTCTCTGGGGCATCGAGGGCTGAGGGGTGACCTTATAGAAGCTTCTAAAATGATGAGGGGCATGGATAGGGTGAAAAGCCAAGGTCTTTTCCCTGTGGTGGGCGAGTCCAAAGCTAGAGGCCATAGATTTTAGGCGAGAGGGGAAAGATTTAAAAGGGACATAAAGGGGAAACTTTTTCACGCAGAAGGTGGTGTGTGTACGGAATGAGCTGCCAGAGGAAACAGTGGAGGCTGGTGCAATTACAACATTTAAAAGGCATCTGGATGGGTATATGAATAGGAAGGGTTTAGAGGGATATGTGCCAAGTGCTGGCAAATGGGACTAGGTCAGATTGGGATATCTGGCCAGCATGGACAAGTTGGACCGAAGGGTCTGTTTCTGTGCTGTACATCTCTCTGATGCGACGGTGAGTGGATACTCCCTGTTAAAACTGTTAGGCTTTACGTGCTTTTAAAGAACAACGAAGTCTCCTCTCTGCTCCACACCTGTTTCTCCTGTAGCAAGCTCTGCTTCTCAAAACCCCGCTCCAATATGTCTGACACCCCTCCCCCATCACATCATACTCAGTACATCTTTCCAGGTTTGACACAGGATCCTGGTGGGAAAACATTTGGGAGTTTGATTTACATAAACAGGAGCATGGTTAATGTTAACACGAACGGTTTGGATGGATGAGCAATGTGGCCAAGATGGTGGTTGACAAGATGTTTCCTAGCTCCTGGTCTGGGCCTCATCTGCTTCCGCCTGCTTTCTTTGTTTGTTACTTTCTTCTTTTTACTTTTTCTTTTTTACCTTTTGTTCTTTTTCTATTTTTATTTCCTTTCTCCTTAAAAGCCCTTTTTGGCAACTTTGGCAGGCCGAGAGCAGGCACGGCCTCCTGAGCATGTGCGGTGGCGGCGGCAACAGAGTCGGCTCCTTCCAGCATTAACGATGGCGAGATTCGCTGGGGGAGAGAGTTAGCCCAGTGCAAGGGGAGAGTTAGCCCAGT